CCGAGAGCTACTAGAGAGCAAGACAACTTCCGTAAGAAATACACCTAAAGTAACGGGCTGTCGCTCTCACTGAGATCTCTGTTGGGCAAGCTACCCTAGCTCAAGACCTCAGCCACTACGCTTGGCAAACTGCTTTGGATAGGGAAGGTAAAGTCCTCAAATCCTAGAATAACATGATAGAGTACTCCGAGACGGAGCGGGTCTATGTGGGGAATCAGCAGTTTGCGGAATCTTCACGATTCTTTGCTCGTCAAGATCAAACAGTTCTTCTACCATCTCCAGGTTGCGTACTTCACACTCTGGTGGAAGTGAGACCAACTATGTCCAAAACAATGTTGACCATATAGAGGCTTGATGACTACTGTATATTGTACATATTCATCACCTAAGACCTAAGAGACCTATGGGACTCCTTATAGTGCTATAACATATATGATAGCACTTGGACCAATGACAGAGAATCGCTTGCCCAATCACTCACAGGCCATGCAGCGTGCAGCCAATGCAGTGAAAGCATGCATCAAAGACAAGACAGCGCAAAGCCAGGCAGACATGCAACATATCGAATACATGCATCGGATGTTAGATAGTACAGGCCAGTCCAAAAAGTCATTTAAGGTTCGGGGCTTGAGGGCTTAGGGCTTCTCACCACGACGACGGAGCTTTCTTTGCTGCATCCTAGGGCACCAACCCTAAACCCCTTTTTGCTACTGGAACTTCGAAACCCTTATCTCTAAATCCCGAAACCCAAAGCCTTTAAACCACTCTTTTGCATCAGGACTGGTGCAATCGCCTGAACTTCTGAGCAATACGGAGGTTCAGCGCTCAGGAATGATCTTCCATGCCCCTGAGCCCCTAAACCCCGTGCTGGTACCCTAAACCCTAAACCCTAATCCTTCATCTCGTCAACCAGCATAGCCGCAGCTTCGTCGGACTGCTGGTTCAGTGTGTCAACCTGGCATCGCACAGAATGTGTAAAACATGCTACAGCATAATATGATTCGTCTGTTTATACATATACAATCATATACATACACACATACGTGCATACATGTCTATATAAGCATATGATGTTGTATGTACGCCAATACATATGGAAAATAGTAGAAAATGCAATATGCAACCTTGTCACACTCCCCGTGGCTGGAAGCTTGCTCCGAAGTTGATGCAGAAAGTGGTGGCCCAGCATGGTCTGAATTCTGCTACATAAGTCTGAGCTCCGTAACTACTTCCGAAGGGTGCCAGAACCGGTCGAATGCTTCATGGCCTTGCGAAGCAAGTCTTTCGCCATGTCGATCATCTCGTCGCCCTTCTTCTCACCTCAGATTCCTGTTCCTGTAGCCCTGCAAACCTTCGCGACCCTTTCCTTCAGTCTTAGGTAAATCTGACTGGCAACTCAGGCTGCGAAGTGCCACATGCCTTGGACTCGGCATATCTTTTTGCAGTCGAGCAGCCATCGTAGTCGGGACCTTCTTGCGGGACCAGCCCACAAGCACAGACTCGCCATCATCGTAAACAAAGAATGATCACAGAACTAGCTCTGTTTCAGCTACAGTGCGCAGGATCTCTGCCCACATGGTTCAAACATCCAAGGTCTCTTTTGCAGCAAACCCGAAACTTCACAAAACAAGCATTCTAGATAGACTCCTTCAGTCAAACCACAACAGGCAAGCCAAAACATGCAAACCCTTAGCCGCAAAGCAAAGACTGCGAGCCTGGTGGTCCTCGAGGGCCCACAGGACCCTTCGGTCCACGTTCGCCCTGGCTCGAGCTCTTTTTCTATGCACAGAAAGCAGACACGGTTACACACCAAGAATCTGAGTACACAGGATGGTACAGAAAGGTGAAGTGCGGCGGAAATATGATTGCTTTTGGTTCGCAGCCCTGTCTGTACATGCCTTTCTGTATAACTAGAACTGCGCACGTGCACACGCCTTTCGGTGTAACGTATGTATGCAGGTAACGCCAGGTTGGAACAGCACTGCTTGAGGCATGCTTGTACGCATGTACATACACAGGTAAATCACGTCTATAGTGCCCAGACCCATGAACTCCTGCAACCCCAACAATGGAATCTGCACATTAAGTGTCACAGGCACGCGTCACGTGACCCTGTGTGCCCACCTACATCTGAAACAAACCTGATTACATACACATTGTACATCCACGATGAGGCTCGCTTCCTACTGCTGCACAACCCGCCCCTGATCTTCAAAATATATCTGGCAAACCCCTAGGACCATAAGAGGAACTTTGTTCCCCCGCCGCGAAACGAAAAGCAACGAAGCTACAAACGGAAGTTTGACTCTAAGATTTAGTTTGGGTATGTAAGCGGCGAAACTCTGATTCCCACATCCTAGTACAAGAGAACCCCCCAAACAAAACAGGATCCCAATGCACGAAGCCACCCAACAGTCTGTTCGGGTCTTGTGCGATCCACCTGCGGACCGTGTGGTCCAGGATCTCCAGACGGTCCAGGAGGTCCCGGATGAACAGAGCCAGGAGGCCCCTTCCTTTGAGGGTCTATATTAATACAATTACTAAAACTGATACTAATAAATCTAATACCAATACTAATACTAATACTTCATAGGTTAGAGTGGTTCAGGGGTTCTAGGGGTTTACGCTCTCGCAACTCGGACAAGCCAAAAGAGGTCTCTCGGTGCATAGTGCTTTGACTGGTCCGTGTGTTAGAGCTATCAGTTCCAGGGGTTTAGGGGTTTATGGTTTAGGAGTTTAGGGTTTCACAATCCAGCCGAGGCATATGGTTCGAAGTCTGACAAGTGAAACGTAACTACCGGGAGGAGTCATGATGACAAACTTTCAGTTGCGGGGTGAGGCTTGCAGGAAATTGCAGGGGATTGGGCGGCCGGCTAGCGTCAGAAAGTATTCTTAGGAGCCGGCCCGTGTTGTATGTTGTGGAACTCGTATCATTCACTATGTATTGTAAGTCCCCGCAACAGGTACGCAACTTTGGGTACTGCCCCCCTACAGTAACGGTCTATAACAGGGCTACTATTAAGGGCCGAATAGATCTATATGTTACCAATAATATTCAACTATTACTGAGTGGGGGCAGTATGCAAGCTCCTGTGCAGCCTCCGCATCTTCCCGATTCTTCAATACATGGGAGTTTCCGAAAATAGGGGACCCAAATATAGTACCCTAACTAATAGGATCCGTATTCTAAGGACTCCAAAAGGTACCCCTAGTTTTCGGAAAACCCAAGAGTCTGCACAGATCCTACAGACTACCATGTCACCCAGCAACCACCTACATGCGATAGTCAAACATAGTCGATTTTGTAGTGAACGAGAATGAGCTCACAAGAAGGGGAAGGAGACGCTAACAGCCAACAATTGGGCTCACAGTGCTCAGTGCCAGAATCGATAGCCAAAAAAACGCGCAACCTTCCTGCAAATGACCTTCTCCCAAAAAACCTTAAGCCTTATAAACATAGCCTTATGCCCTAAGCCTCAGCCCAAGGGTTCTGTAAAGGGATCTATACGGGTAGGGTTCTATAAAGGGTTTAGGGTTTAGGGTTTGGGAGCTTCCGAAAATTTGGGGTACCCCTCGCTTGGGCCGCAGAGTTGCGGCCCTTGGGGGCCGGCAGGACCCGTAAAGCCCTGTGGCCCGGCTGGGCCCTGAGGGCCAGGAGGACCTCCCAAGGAATTATAGGGTTTTCTTTTTTTTTTTAAAAAAAAAAGGGATTAGGTGTTTTTTCTATAAATAAGGAATTATATGATTTTTTTTAATAGACAAGGAATTAGGGCTTTGAGGTTGTTCGACGCTCACACTCGCACAAGGCAGGCAAGGCTCCACATAGGTTTAAGGGTTTAGGGTCTGTCTTGCTGGGACGAACCTACGATTCAGGGTACTTTGCCAGAGAACTCACAGTTTACTTTGTACAGCTTGGGGCTTTGGCACGGATGCACGGGTCGCCGGTTGAGGTTTCGATTGGGGCCAGGGTTCAGGAAGCATAGGTTCTTGTGCCAGATGCGGCCTTGAGAGAAGCGATACTTAGACCTAGATGTAAAGTACAAGCAAAGACAGATAGACAGCGAGAAACAAGTCTCTGATGATGGCAAAGGTGGAGCAAGAGCACCTGCAAAGCAGCCTTGTCCGATACCTTTTTCAACTGCCCTTGGAGGCTGTCAACGTCAAGGTGAGAATCGAAAGAAACCTTCATTGGCATACCGGTGTGGCTTGCATCAGCTGCAAAGACCGAAACCTTCTGAGCCCTTTTCCCTGGCCAGCACCTCAGACAGCAAGGAGAAATGAGCTCAAAGTTGCCATCAGCCGTCACCTCCCTGCTCTCCGATCTCAGCAGCAGCCGCTGGACTTCTTCTTCTTGCCCTTCTTGCTCTTCTTCGTCGGGGCGGCGGCCTTGGGCAAGGCAGAGCTGGCGGCGGTGCCGGTCATCACAAAGCTCTCGCGAGCCATGTCCGTCATGTCGTGGGTTGCCTTCAGCTCAATCTTTCCAACTTTAAACGGGAAAGACAAATCGCATAAACTAGTAACCCGGTAAACTGCTAGTTACCGAACTTACGACATGCACGTTTCCGGCAAGTCAAGCTGCCTGGGGCGCCGTGTGACCCTCCGGGTGGGAGGTGATCACGAAGCCGGGGGGAAGCGCCTCACCGGGTGCGAACCATTTGCCCTTGGTGTGGTCCAGGCCGCTGTAGACCGGCGGCGAGTAAGCTGGCATGCTTGGCATGGTGTAGGCTCCTGCCGAGATCGTGTAGGGCGACGATGCGTAGGTCACCGGCACGCCGGCATCTTGCTGGTAGGTGTAGGCCGGCATCGGCTCGGTGGTGTAGGCCGGCATGGTCGTGTACATAGGTTCTGCTGGGGCCGCCATGGGCTCGAACTTGGGCAATAAGCAATGGTCAATGGTTGATGCACTGCGGGCCAAGACAGCTGCGGTTTGCTACATGTGGCCGGCTTCCTGCAAAGCTGTTCAGCTCCAGAAGTGCCGAAGCCAAGCTTCCCAAGGCCGGTCAGAGCCCTGCTTCCCGGCCTTTGTACAGTCGCAGATCCTGTGGGAGATTCAGCCGGGGCCCCTTCCAGTCGTGCATCGCCTCAGATTCCGAGAGTCACTCGAAAAGTTACACGATTTGTAACGCAGCCGCGCAAGACGTCTCCCAGCTACAGCACAGTTCGGGTTTGTGCCTGTCAAAGTACACCGACAATTCAATCAAGCCAAGGCGGCTAGAGGAAGCGTTGCTGGTGGGCCTTGTGGACCTCCTGCGGAGAGAACGGTTGCCGCGCTGCAACACGGGGTTCTTATCGGCACAGGGAAAGAGCACTAAGCAATCGTGGCTCGAAACATGAGAGCCGCCCCGTCCTCCCACGTTCTCGACCCAGTTGTCCTCGCCACCTTCAGATGCCAGAGAAGCTCCTCCGGTACGTCTGCAGGGCAGCTTTTGCAAGGGTCTATCTTTGCAGCTGCATGTAATGACTTCGAACATCAAACAGGCACCGAGAAAGTTGGGGCTCTCACGTACCGGAGCTTGGCGAGGGGAATGCCCCATCTCCGCACCGGACAGTACAGGCAAGGGGGGCGAATTCGCCATCGAGAAATCTCAGGAATGCAGCTCATGAGCTTCAAGTTATAGGGTTTGGGCTTGCGAAAGGGGACAAGGGCGTCCTTCTCCGGAAGCTCTTCGCATAGTGTGATGCGCAGCCTTGCTTGGGGATGCTCTGGGCTGGTGGCATGATGCAAGCAGTGCCACCGTCACACACACACACACACACACACATGTCATGGATGTATGTATGCGTGTCTGTACGTGTGTATGTATGTATATATATATATATATATATATATATGTTCATATATATATATATATATATTCATATATATATATATATATTCATACAGTTACAGAGAAATGTCTGATCTGTGTACCGGTGACTTGAACGACAGCCTGCGTACATGGATACGCATACACATAGAACACACAAACACATGCATTCCTGCACTCGTGCATACATAACGTACTGACCCACCCACCCACGCGACCGGGAGTACAAGCCCTTTTCGCCAACGATGTGACCAAACGCTTTCGAAAGCGAGTAGACTTGAAGGCAAGTACGAACATTGCATTTCCGGAGAGCGTATCGAAAACCGTTGACAGGCTTTCCGGAAATCGGCTCACCGGCTCATCTAGCCGCACGCAACCCTTGCACCGCTATCCGCTGAACTAGGCCTAGACCACATTCTAAAACTTCGACAGCTCAAAAGCACGCATGTGTGTGTGTGTATATTGCAGGTATGCCACTATAGAGACTGACACCGATGTGATCTCGAAGTCAAGCTGCTACGTGTCACGTGCGAGAGAGTCAAAGGGCAATGCGTCGACACATGCGTCAGGCATAGCTGCAAAACCCAAAGAAACGATTTGCAAATGTGTGCGCCAGCCAGCTCGTCTACGAACCCGACATCCTCACACCATCTGTTTACCTATCTTTCGGAACGTCTAGCATATTGAAAACATAATATAGGGGCCTGAAAAATCAGAGTAGTGTTCTTGGGGCCCAGTATACTATAATTACGCGCCAAAATAGTATACATTACCGAGGCCCCTGTATGTAAAGCCCTTGAGCCTCGTCTTCTGCTTTGCCGGTGGCTGTCACCGAGACTCGGGCCTTCCATCAGGAACAGAAGCTTAGGGAGTATAGGAGTTTCAGCATTCACTCTTCACAATCCCAGGCGAGGATCCCAGTATAGGGAGTTTAGGGTTTAGGGGGAGGAGAAGACCCAACAAAAACACAAAGAAGCGAAGCACTGGGGCACTTCCGTACGGCTACGGACCAGAGGCACCTTCTCATTGGCGGCAACTACAGCGCCCCGGACCGCCGGAGCCAGGATCTCGCCAGCAGGGGTGCAGACCGCTCAAAGAGATGGCAGAATGGAAGCTGAATCGTGCCACAACGCTTGAGATTTTGACACAAAATCGCCGCTGGACCGTGACAGATGCAATGTACTGGCCTGTAAGATCAACCATACACATGCAACATGTCTTTGCGTGCTCTGCAGGCAATGACGCCACAGGCTATCTGGTGCGATGTTAGCTGCACTATGAGATCTATCGAGTTTGCCTCCAAACCAGGAGACAGGAATTCTTTGTGGTGCTGATGCAGCCCAGTTGCTGTCAGAGTCAAGGCGATCGGCATGAAGTGGATTGCACAAGATATGGACATCCTTACTGCTGAGGATGGGTGTTTGGGTCTTGGCGTCTCTGCTTGTGCTTGTCCGTAAACTGTATTTCTGCCGATGTAAGCTTCCCTCCGTGGATAACATGGAAGGAAAAACAAACATGCCCAGATTTTGGAGCACAAGGCTCTCAGTTAACTGAAACTGAAACATCTCTGAAGATCAAGGCGTGCGTATATTGATCTGCCCTCCTGTTGGCTTGGATTTGCAAAGCGCAAAGTGTTGAGACTACCGCCCGCGCCGTTCAAAACAACAGTTGTGGTCATACAGGTGGCCCCATTCATAACCATATACGAAACGCAGGGAAACAAATCACACACCTTATCGCACGACCGATGGCAATGCTGTCTGAGGTGTCAATAGCTTCGGACGTTAGGCGGAAGTCTAGACCCGACCAACACTCCTCATGCTGGTTGTCATGCTGCAACCTACACCATGACCGAAAACTAGAGATGTTTACCCAACAGGCAACAACACCTGAATGCAGAAAACAAGAAGGATGGGTAATGCAACTTCAACTTAGGCCCTGTAGGCATTCATTACACCAACAAGCGTGCGCACGCATATGGGTGCATGTGTCCTTTTGGTGGTTCTTTGCACACGTAGAAAAAGAGCCTTGTACACATTTGTACACTACTTCGCTTAAAGACCAAGACCAAGATGCGTTGAACTTTCGCAGTCCTCCTGTGGTGATGGAAGGTCCCACCGACCTGCGACCGCGAAGACAGGTTCGGTTCCAACTTATTCACAATTGTTCATTTGCACTTGGCTGTTGGCGCCCGAAGACCCATCTGTGGCACCTACGTGAGTGCTGCATCGTAGGCCCGGTCAAAAACTCACAACGGAAGATGTGCGTGACTCACAACACAAAAAACACAAAAAAAATTGCGACCGGATCCGGCGCCATAACTTGGGATTTCGGGCTCTGTATGATTTGAAAGGGAAGAAGGAGTTCACACAGTGCTCATTTTACGTAATTAACCGGCATAAAATATGACACACTATATGTAATATGATATGAAACGATCCAATATGAAATATTAATGGAATAAAATAGAATAGACTGGAATATGTTGTAGATGTTATTGTATTCTGCTCGTGTATATTGACATAAATACACATGCAGATCTGCCTTATGTACTTAGACATTTAGCCATAACTTGACTTGCAACAGTGCGCCTGCCTCCTTGAGCCCCCGCAATAACAAGGGACTGGCAAACTCGAACCAAAATAGGTCCGGCTGCGGTGGTCGCAAGATGTCCTACGGTGCCGTGCAGGCTTCGACAGTAAGTTGGCCACATGCTGCAGCAGGACATACATACATGCAGTCATGCAGATATGGTTTTCCCGCTGACGCGTGGCTGAACTGTAGGTGAAACATTGGTACTGCAGTAATTGTACAAGCACAACCAACTCAGAACTGCAAGCTGCAACCAACCAAGCAGTCACAAGCACCACATCAGCCTGTCCGCAACACGTTGGTCGTGGAGAAACATGTACACTGCCATAGCCACAAGGCAGCAGGCTCTCGACTTGCTGCTGTTGCCACCCATCAACTCACGGCCGATGCTGACGAGGCCAAGTCCTTGTCGAGCTCATCAAAGTCGAAAAACTGGCTATGGCGGATCTCCACAAACTGGCACCCAGGTTTGACCTGGAGGCCGACCGCTGCCGGAGCTGGAGCAGTGGGCTGTGAGCTCCGGGGCTCACGGGTCTTGCCAGCTCGCTGGCGAGCCCGCAGGTCTGCGTAGAAGCGCCGGTACTTTTCCTTCTTTTTGTTGAAGACGCCGTCTGCAGCAACCGCCTGCGCTGAGTGGATCTGCTGCGTCATGTCCATCAAGTGCAGCTGGTAATCGTACATCTGCATCTCGTACTGGATCCGCTGCATCCGCTCGTACTCCAACTCGTACTCGGCTTCCAAGGCGCGTTGGTTGGACTCGCACGCCTGGGCAGCGAAGTCTTCCTTTTGCGCCCTCTCTTTCCAAATCGCTGCGCGGAGCTGCGCAATCTCAGCAGCCTGCTGGGAGGTGGAGCTGGTGTCCTGCGAAGTCGCAACATACTGCGGCGCAAAACGGCCGCCTTCTTGGGCCGACCTGGACAGTGGCATCTCTTCCACTTCAGATCATTGCACCTTCAGCACCGCCATTGCGGAATGCTCAAAACATAGTTCTCGCTCCAAGGACTACGCTACCTTCAAGCGTTGCTTTTCTACGGAACTCATTGCGATGCTGATACTCACTACATAGACAAGAGCAGCCTTGTCGAAACCCCCTCCCTCGGTCAGACATGGCTTAATGCATGCATGGATAGATGGAAGTATGGAGAAACTGGGCCTGGATATGTAACGAATAAGTATGTATGGTTGCTTGTAGTGCGGGCATACACACAGGCATGCATGCGTGCGGGCATACACAGGCATGCATGCGTACCGGGATGTGCACATCTTAGTCCATATGCACAGAAACTCACCAGGTTGGGGACACGCAAGGTGTCTAGCCCAGTCGAGTGTTCAATTATACACGTGCGTGTTTGTGTATGTGTGCGCATCACAATACGTGTACACAGAACATACAATATAAAGAACACACACAGACACAAAAACAGAGATATGCATGTGTATACACACTAATTATGTATACACATACACATACAAACAGATGATCTACACACGCGCACGCATACATAGAGCCATCTCGAGGGGACGTCACTCGGCTCGCCTCGCCACTTGCTGCCCGAAGCACAAGCTCCAACAAGCACTTCGGATGAGTATAGGGGTTTTCCCTTAAGTTTAGGTTACCAACGAAAACTCTCACACACACACACACACATAAAATCACGGACATGGTCTTCAGAAGCTGCTTGCCAGGACAGCAACACATCACGCGGGGCCTGCATGGGTGTATGGCGGCTTATCACCGATCTGAGCAGAGCACCATGGAGGATCGGGTGCAGCTGAGGCTCTAGCTCCTGCAAGGGCTTCAGAACGGTTTCAGATTTGAGGTTGCTAGGAAACCGCTCTTTGAGTTTGGCATAGTCTCGAACCCTGACAGAAACGCATTGTTCGAAATCAAGAGTATTGATATGCTCGTCCATTGAAGTTGGAGAATTTTCCTGATGTTGTGGTAGCCGTTGCTGATACCAGGGCATGCTGTCCGAACTCACACTACTCATACACATCACAACAGCCCATGGAGAGACCTCAATTGCTTCCACCCAACAGTGCTGTATGATAGCGTGGGGACCTAAACATTACTGAGCCTTGGAGACTTGCGGCCCGATCTTTGAGGCAAGATCCAAGGAGTCTATGAGCAGCAGCTCCCACTGAGCGCCCTTCAACGCTCCGATCAAAGGCCTTTCTTCACACAAGCGTTATCATGTTTTATGTAAGCATCACTGGATGCGCATGGTTTTCGTTCCATGTCCGACATGGACAAGGCGGCCCTGATGAGACCTGATCAACTTGACGCTATAGCATTGAAAGTACCATGGCCTTGGATCGGAACATTTCCGGGAAAAATCTGAGGGACCTTGCTGAATGCTGCGGCGTGTTGTGCGTTGTGGGCTGCCTCCGCAAACAATCGAATAGCCGATTGGCAGGTCTGGCACGCGTACATAGCTGCGGCTTGACTCTAAGGAGCCATGCACGTCTTGCATTGATGAGTCTCCTGTGCCAGCAGGCATGCGCTTGCATGCCGGAGCAGCGGTGGACCCGCTATTACAATTGTCATGGGGAAGACGATGATCATGACATTTTTTCTGTTATCGAAGTCGAACATGTGCCAGAGTGTTGCGCCGGCGGCAGACCAATACCTTGCATTGTGCAGGTCTGTACGTGTGTACTAAGTATCAACATAATGTACGAGCACACATACACGCACAGGCACTCACAAGACTGTGGGCACACAATGGTACACATGCATCTCGACAAGAGGATTCAAGTAATACAGCTATGAGTCAATGAAGGTGCAGGTCGTGCAATCTACGTTGACACAAATTTCATACCCTCTCACAGCCTGCACGTCCATCTTTGTCCGTATGTTGTGCTTGTCCGGGAAGTTTAAGTGTACACCCGGACGCGTGCGCGCCCGCATCGTGAGCATGCACATGTCCATGTGTTATCATGTGTTCAATGCTGAATTTTCATCTGACTTACATTCCGCTGACTCCGCTGGCGGCAGCTTGAACCCAGAGTACGAAGCCGAAGCAGATCCCCGGGCCAACCGGGCTTTCGCAAAAATGGGCAATGCATAAGCAGAAGGATCCGCCACCGAAATCCAGATGTCGGAGAATCTCTCCCATGGGGGCCATCATTCTTAGTCGTTGCAAGGTGGTAGGTAGGATCCTTATGACCATGCGCTTGCACTTGCATTCCCCAATTCCCCTTGCTTCAAAGTGATCAGGCTTGACTTCCCGACCGAAACAGATTGGGCTCAAAAAAACTTAGCCTATCAACAAAACCAGGAAGGTTTTGTGTTCTCAACTGACTCAAGGGTGCATTATAAGATAAATGCAAGTAGATATGCTAGATATGTACTTGGTGCAATCTTCAAGCCGACGCAGGAAGTGAGAAGCCAGCCCGACCAAGCAAGGTACAGCATGCACGTGCAAGGCGCCTACCCCCGAGACAGCTGTTCTTGGAACCCCTTGCTGGACGGGAAGGGAAACCTCGAGAGCACTTTTCAGTGAAGCCTGCGTACAGCCTACCGGTGGTTTTGGGCTTAATTCGGATGAAAAGCTTATGAGTTACTCCTCAGGGTTTGGGGGCTTAGCGTCGGCTGCCGGGGTCGACGCAGACTCACCTGCTGTGTTTGCTGGCGCGCGTCAGGCGCGCGGCAACCATAGACCTCCGACAAATGTCGCTCATCACTTGTGATGTACATAAGACATGTTGTTTATTCTAGCTACAGTCGAGTTGCTCATGTCGGTGACTGCATAACTATGTTGGGACATACACTTGCAGTGTCTGTTTCTGTGATGCCCTGCTGAACTTCTGAAGCAAACAACCGTGTATCACGTAGTTGTAAATGCAGTACTCCAAGATCAGGGATACACGTCATTGCCCGCTTTGTTTGGGGTCTTTTCAATGGAGTCACAAAATCTACAAACCCCCGCCAAAAACAACTAAACTCCCACTGAAAACAACTAAACTCCCACGGAAAACAATAAAACCCCCACTGAAAACAACTACAAACAACTAAACTCCCACTAAAAACAACTAAACTCCCACGAAAAAAACTAAACTCCCACTAACAACAACTAAACTCCCGCTGCACTGCAAACGACAATTACAGGGAGGAGCAGGTCACTGAGCCATCATGCATAATAATCAGCGATCCAATCCCACCAAAATCCTACTTAAATCCCACCAAGGTCCCACTGAAATCCCACCACTGAACTCCCACTGAAACCCACTGAAATCCCACTTTCTGGCTCCGGGTGTGCAGTTCCCACCAACAGCCCACACCAATCCCACCAAACTCCCACTGAAATCCCACTAAACTCCCACTGAAATCCCACTAAACTCCCACTAAAATCCCACCAGACTCCCACAGATATCCCACTTTCTGGCTCCGGGTATGCGGTTCCCGCACACTTTGCACGACAACCCTACCCCACCCAACATGTACAATGGATAGTGACGGTCAAATCCTTCCTCACAAAATCCTTATATTGTCCCTAGGTTTTCCCAGCACCCCGTTGCACGGGAATTTATAGGGAATTATATGGGATTTATGCGGTGTGAGGCCTGAGCTAAAGAAGGGTCATTTGAAGAAGCACGAAGGCGCTTTCAAGACAAGAGTTGAGGGTTATGCGTATATATATATATATATATATGTATATATATACAATGTGTAGAAGTGAGACACGAATGTACTGTGCGTATGCAGCGTGGATGCACAAAGAGACGACGACGACCACCACCACCACCACCACCACCACAACCACACGACGAGGACGACGACAACGACCCCTGCCACTGCTACTAACTGCCAGTACTACCACAGCCATTAAATGCAGCTTCCAGGACGAATGCTACTTCGTCCAACCGCAGATCACGATCAACATCAGTACAAAACCGGTTTACATCTGTACCATGAGTTAGCTGACATCGTCGCTGGTCCATCGTTCCAACCAGAAGGTCTGTTTGAGGTGACCTTCATGCCACCTGATGGACGTAATCCCCAGTCACGATAAGTCATACAGCGGCAGTAATTCCGTCTTCAAGCATCAGCCACCAAAAAGACCCCGAGAAATTGTGAAATGCATCCCAACCACTTCAGCCCCTGGGTTGAATCCATCCAAGACACAAAATCCACAACGCCACGCCATGCAAAACCCCGGGTCCTTCACCTTCTTGGCTCACTGAGGACAGGCTGTGTGTTCCTGTGCCGTACGCCCTCACCGGCCTCATGGAGTTGCTCTTTTGCAGCAAAGTATCACCTCGAAATACTGTCAGTGCAGTGAACGAGGCTTGAACAGTGGAACATGTCCTGCAGCCAGCATTGGGAGAACCGTATACTTGCGAGTCTACCAGCTACACACTGCACCAGCCGACAGAATCACCACAAAGGTCTTGCTTCCTGAATCTCGAGGGATGCAACTGGTCAAACACCCAAGCAAGCGCAAATCTGGGATAAGCCACTCCATTGATCGTTGATTTCTTCCAGCCAGTCCTGCAGTAGTGGTCTCAGCTATACATTTTTTTGCATAGAAAAAGCAGTAACCTGCAGAAGTAGTTGCAGGACTAATGGAGCACGGCCATAGCAGTGGAACAGTTAGTGGTACTGGAGGCAGTAGCAGTAGCAGTATCAGTGGCAGTAGCAGCAGCAGCAGCAAAAGTCGCAGCAGCAGTAGCAGTGGCAGTAGCAGGAGCAGTAGCAGTAGTCGTAGTGGTAGTGTTAGTGGTAGTTGTAGTCGTGGCAGTAGCGGTAGTAGCAGAACGCAGAGGTATTTTGTAGAATTTTGCAATAGCAAGTAGCAGTGTTTCCTTTACCTAGCATGAACCGGAGTAGTCGTAGTAGTGAGGAGCAGTGCTAGCAGGTGCTGTAGAAGTAGCAGTTGTAGTAGTACAGTAGTAGTAGCAGTAGTAGTAGTAGTAGTAGTTGTTGTTGTTGTTGTGGTTGTTGCTGCTTTTGTAGAAATCAGCAATCAGTAGTTATGTTGTTGTTGTCGTCGGTCAGAAGCCGCGCGGCTTCTGACAACCAGGAGCAACAGAAACTTCGTGTCGAACCCTAACACAGGTTTAGGGATCACTCTCTTGAGAGGCCGTGAATGCTGCTGTCCAGAAGCACATGAAACTTGATCGCCATGCATTTTCGATCTGAAATCCGATTGCATCCCAACGCGGCGGTCCATCTCGACCTGATCTGATTCTGCCCGGGCTGCGGCGAGTGCTTGCCTCGTTGCTTTCAAGAATTTGGCGAAGGACAGGCTGCTTCCTTTAATGCTGTACGACTTGCGTCTCGTCTAATCTTCGGCTAAAGCCTGTTACGCAGGATTCCAGCACAGGCAGGGAAGTGAGGTCCGTACTCAAGGCCCGTGTCCACCACAGACTGGCCAAGCCTGGGCGAGATGAGATCTTGGCATGCCCATGCATGGCAAGATCTCCAACTCAGTCGAAACAATATATGGGTAGTTGTCAAAATTAGGGTCCCTTTTTGGGGTACCCTAGATATATTAGGTGCCGCACTATAATAGGGACCCAAAAAGGCACCCTCATTTTGACAACCACCCATATGAAGCACTGCTCGAAGGAAAGCCGTGCATACTTCAGGGCCAGACAAGTCCGACGTCTCAAAGGCATCCTGGGTCTCAGAAAGGTCTACTTAAAGGATCATGGGACTTAGTAAGTGGGGTTATAAGTACCTGAATTGGGGTTATAAGTATAGTTACCCTAATTATAACCCTAGTTACTAAGTCCCATGATCCTTTAAGTAGCTGCATCTACTAACCAGTGGTTTTGGGGTTCCCTTGGCTCTTTAGCTCCTTATTTAATAGGGATTATCATCATCCCTGGCTCCTTAGCTCCTCCAATATCAATGGTTCGTCTATCTCATACCATGCGATCAAACATCTCGCACAGTCAGCCATCACGGCTACCGTGCTAAATCATCAATCGGAGCTGTCCATGCCTCTTCTTCTGCTGCTGCCACCACTACGAGTACCACTGCTAGGACGAGGACTATGTGCTGGTACTACCAGTACTAGTTACTAAGCGCTATACTCGCTACGACTGGATACGGGGGCCACGACTACTTGCTCATGCTGCTTCTGCATGTCTGCTGCTACTACCGCGGCTTATTTCCCCAGTACCTGCAATCGATTTCTGCTGTACGCCACACGGCTCCGGTGAACTGACAGTACTCCGGGTGATGACTCGCACCTTCCAAAGCCGAGGCTCCAGGTTGTTGAGGGCATCAAGAAAGCCCAACGCGTACTGCTTGCAGAAGTTCCACGGCCTCAGCCATCGTCAAATGCAGGGCCCCTAAGACCTGAACAATTACGGCAGGCTGGAGTGTCCCGTGATGTGCGCAGATGCTAAGGTCTGCGCCAAATATGCGCCTGCGACAGGCATGGGCTATTGAAACCTTGACCCTGCCCTTTCGCTCTGTTTGGCACATTCAACGGCGGAACCCGAGACTCAAAAGCTCCAGCCAACTCGTCGGCTACGCAGTGCAGGGTACTAGCCCTTGCTCCACGATGCCCTGCCTGCATGACATCTGCAAACTTGCCAGGGTCCAGATGACAGAGCCTGATGCTGATTCAGTTGCGGCGGCTTTCGGCACCCAGAATCGGTCAAGCCAGACATGGTTTTGCGAAGAACACATCCGTCCGTATGACTGAAACAACATTGCATTGAAGCGCTGGCCTCGGCAAAGCGACAGAGACAGCTGTTTTCATCTTACGTCCGAGACGAGGTACACACAGTGTCACGCTATACCACTACCAACCTGTAGTAGCGGCTTCATGGAGCCTGAAGTCACTGGTTGCCCAGTACACTGACATGCGCATCTGGGTAAGTCTTGGGCTCACCCGTCTTGACGGCTGTGAACCTCAATGCTCCAGGATGCTGAACCCTGCCGCATCTCCAGGTACGGCTAGCTCTGCAAAGCGACAAACGGATCACTGTTGTCGCTTGCTTTAGTTTGGCACAAACTCCATCGCCGTGACATTGGTCGAAATTCCTCATGAAAAGTGACGTGCGAACGAGGATATGCTCAACATCCACTGCTGTTTCAGAGTCAGCCTGTCAATGTGTTACTGTCATGGGCCTTGCGGCTGAGGGGGTATCTACCGCAGGGGTTTGGGTTGGGCATGTAGCAGATCTATGCTGAGTCGTACCATCACTGCGACTATCTGCCCTCGCTGGTGTCAAGGGCCCGGCGTTCCTTGGTGCTGCCAGTCTGTCCAGAGACATGGCTCCACGAGCCAGCGGTATGGGCCTAAGACTGTATGGCTCTTGGTAGGGAATGGGGGAATGGTCCCTATATCCCCAATAATAGTCTCCATAATCCATTCCCCTATTCCCTATAAAGAACAAGACAGAAGTACTAGGGGGAGGTTTGCTCGGTCGGGAAGCCATGGCTGCTGTGGGAAAACCTTTGCACAGACTTGTATATGCCCGCCTGGGTGTCGGATGTCAGAGCCGCTGCACTCGTGGCAGACCCTAACCTTCTGAAGTAACTGAATCACGGAGGACGAAATCAACTCTGTTCTGAGCAGTTAAGGTCCTCGCCAATGTCGGTTGGCCTGAGGAGGGCAGTGCGCAAAAGAGTCAGACAGTCGGCATGTGTCATGTGTCAAGTGATCCAAAGATAACCGTGCATCTTCCCCTGAAACCAAGGAAGGCGTCCTAGACGCACACGATGCTATGGATGAGACAACAGCTGAATGCCCCAACCTGCCAAATTCCACTGCTCTGCGCGGACGATGCTCTGCTCAGCAACATCTGGATCTCTCTCTCTCTCTCTCTCTGCCGTTGCATCCAGAGGGTCTAGCAGCGCCAGGCACTGCAACATCTGGATCGCAGTGCCCTATTCAAGCCCTGCAGACCTGGGCCTATAACCCCCCAAAATAGTAGGATTCATATAAGGCCCAAATAAAGGCTCAAGGAACCTTAGTCAGGTTCCTACATTAGCCAGATGCGAAGTCTAAGAACCACTTGTATCTCCTCGACTCACTCTTTGAAAGCTGGGCTCGGGTCTCTTGGAACTCGTACCCAGGCCTGGGCCATTCATCCAAACAGCGTGCTTTGCTGGTTGCATGAAAACACTGCGGTATTCATCATGAACTCATGCGGTGTTCGGAGGTGGATGAAACCTTCAATCTGCGGGGTGCAGCACTAAACGCTAGTCAACGATTCTAGAAGCCAAAACACCGAGAGCGCTGCTGTCGAGCTAGCAAAAGCTTGTTGCAGAAGCGACTCTGCCATTACTAAATTACAAAGGCCAAGCAGGCAGCATGTACAAAGCACTTGCCCTCAATATTCTAAATTTGTTGAAGGGTCTGGCACAACGAACAAACCAAGCCAGGTCATACCGTCCACATGCAAGCCTGTGCTTCTGGTGGCTTTGGCAGCACCTCTGACTATCAGGGCATCGAGATCTGGCCGCTGCGATACATCACGAGCACCCGGCTGATAGTGGAAGTGCCCCGAAAGGACGAACGTCATGTGCGAGGCGCTCTCACCGGCACGGAAGAGTTCATCCTCCGGCGGGTTCGATCCACTGGATCAACGACATGCACAGATAGAAAGCCTTAATTTGAAAAGCCCGACCTGGAAACAACCTCCCCACCTCCGGTTTGCAAACACTAAACATATTGGGGAAAAATGTTTGTTCAAAAATATGTTTAGTGCAAGACAGCGCCATCAGCCGGCCCAACCCTGGACAGGAACCGCGAAAACCCCGCCTGCTCTGCCAAGGTCGACTCGGAGACGGCGACGCTGCACACCCTCCGAATGCAAGGAATGAATCTGAGCGTCGTTCAGCGAACTAAGGGCCCTGCTTGTCTACCTCTACCGTCTTGCCTTCGTTCTAGAATTCTGGCATAGCGGCCACCGCGTTGTCACCATGCGCAGACCAGAAGCGCACAAGGCATTGCCGAAGGGTCGGGACATGTGGACCGAGCGCAACAGAAGTCTCCATGTGGGGTTTCGTCACCGGGCTGTTTCTTGTCGTTGCCGGAGTGGAGGCATGATGCGTGCTGCCCATGCGACACTCTCAAACCAGTGCCGTCTCACACTTGCGGAGGGCGAGCGGTTTTCTGCGAAAGCTTCATTATACTTTCCATGCACTCTTTCCTTACACACGGTCCATTAAAACAACTCGGCGCAGCCGCGCCTCATCATCATGGCCTCGATGGCCCCATGAAGTATGTAGAAGAGCCGATGGCGCCCAAGAAGCCTGTACAGCAGCTTTTCAAGATTGAAGGGATGGCTTCAACACAGGAGCGAAGAGTCTGTAATTGGGCTCCTCCTGAGCCTCAGTAGGAGGCAGACTAATGCTTACGAATCTTGGTGAGTGTTCCGGGGGAAGCATGAGTTCAACGAGCTCCACAAATCTATACTGAACTTAGAACCCTAGCAAAAATCACACTTTTAGCTGTTTCTTAGGGATTACAACAACCAAAAACTAAACAATTCTTCTAAGTACCCCTAAGAAATCACCCTTCAGCTCCCAGTCAGCCCGAAGCTTCTCAGTCAGCCCAGGCCTTCGATGAAGCTCCCAAGCGAGCAAGTCCTTCAAGGGCTCCGATAGCAGAGATAGGATCCTCCGACACGACTTGCGGGCAAAAGGCACCAGGGCAAGACTTCCCTTCTGTGTACTTTAGAGGGGCCTACCTAATAATCAACACGACTTTCGGGGTTCCTTTGATTATAACTTTTGATATAATGGTCCGGAAAACCTCTTCTAGTTGTGAGGGCCCCTTTCTGTATATGAACCGTTTGATCTTGTTTGTTTTGATTGCCCCGTCGCCCGACGTTGCCGGAAGTCGCTCGTGTGCCCCGGGAAGTACTGCGGGTCGTCAACCCTCGAAGCCTCGAATCTAAAACCCTACACCTGAACCATAGAAATGACCTCTCACGCCACACCTCAAACTGTAGATCTTCAGCAGGCAACCCCTGGGCTGAATGCCAGGCTAAAAATGCCAAACCCCACCACAGGCGTAGACTTGTGACTTGAGCTATAGGTTTTCGGTCGTTGGTGGTGAGGAAATCTTAGAATCAGTCTGCCGGAAGATGCTGAGGCCCCCGGCTTGATGTCCCTCTGCTGCACTTTCTGACTGCACGGGGGCATGGATTGCGGAACCTACGGCTGCACATACTCTCATCCACAAAAGTACCTACCTGTAAGTACCTACTCATACACACACACATACATATGTGCTCGAACATGCACCTCATGCGTGGTCATATCATCGATACATCTCAGGCGCCCACGACATCGTCCCGGCTAGTAGCTCGCAGAGTCCGGGCAGCCCCAAACTCTCCCTTAACCCGGAATAATCTACCTTTTTAAGGACTTATATACGGAAATCTTAATAAGGAGCCCTAATTGGGTGGGTTATTTAGGGTTAAGGTCGGACCCGAACCCTAAACCGCGGAGCCTTTCTTTCGGCACGCGCTGCTCCAGGAAGCGGATGATCCGACTGCGGCTCTTCTTGGGCACCTCCGGCCGAGACTCCCCTACTCAGAGCCCTTACCCGCCGTATCCTCCCGATGAGAAATACGCCTGCTGTAGTAATAACAGGAACAACACTTGCCAATAATAATAAGTGAATGAATATACGACTAATATTTATGATAGCAATAGTGATAAGAAAAATCGAATCTATCATCATACCAATCATACCAACAGTAGTTTTATGAATTCTAATAATGATATCCAGAATATTTCTAACAAGAATAAGCCCAAGTAATACTAATTCTAAAAGTAGAAACAATATTGTCAACAATCGTAATAACAATAAAACTAACACAAATAGTAATAATGATAATGATAATAACAGAAACAATAACGATCACAATATTTTGAAGCAATAGCAGAAATTTGTGATAATGATAACAAAAATTATGACGATACTCCACACCTGACCTCGCCTTGCGAGCGTTCAGGAAGCGCCGGAGGAGCCAAAACTGCTTTCTGCTGCTGGCCTGGCACACATGCAAAGAAGGCATCTCGACGTTCCATGCTTGGTTCTACGGTCTGGTTAGGCTTTGGGGCGTCCTAAACATGTGCAATCCTGCATCATGGGCTGCTGGCTAATTATCTATGCCCTGACCAGTAAACTCATCGCGCAAGGCCTGCATGTTCTGAAGAGACATCATAGAACTGGTCACCTGGCGGCACGCGGTCGTCGGTTCATGACAGTGCCTTCCAGCCATCTACAGCCGGAAGCCCGTTACAAGCCGCCTGGCCGATCACGGAGGAGAAAACGATGAGCGCAAAGAAGAGGATCATGATCGAGAATACCTCAGAGCTTGCAGGACAAGGCTATGCTAGCGGGGCGTGTAGAAGCAGATGGCCAACGCAACTTGATGAAATAGCAGACTGAGTGGCTGCATTGGACAACAAGAAGCGCATCACACCTTCAAGCAAGCCCACGCCACGCCTCTATGTCCTGTGTCATGTGAGAACACAAGGCCTACGATGGAATCTACCGACTGAAGCCTTTTTATCCTAAACTCTTGACCGACTGAAGCTCGAGTGCGGTCGAAAAGCTCGTTCGCCAGTGTTTCGAGCCTCATCTGGAGGCGAAACCCATGGGACGGGGCTTCAGTGGCTAAAGTGTGGCAAGTTATTTCCTGGCCGATGCTGCAATCACTTTGTCTTCTGCGGTTTTCTTCCACAACCTGATGATTTAATCTCGCGCGCTGCAATGCCAGCGGCACTAGATACCACGTGTTAGCTGCGGCTGAGGCACCGAAATCTCCATTGAAGCAGGTGTGAACCTTGCCAACTGAACAACACGCGGCTAAGCGGCCACATGCTACTTCGCCCATGGCCGAGGAACCACCCACAGGCCCAGAGGCTTCAGGTAGGTGATCAGTCATGCGGCTCACCGTGCAATCCAAGTGGCTGAGTTAAACTCCAATGCATCGACGTAGTGTAGCGGTATGGGAAGCTGGCCTCAATGATGGGCACGCCACCTGCATTGCCAAGTTAGGTCTTTAGAAGCAATCCGCGAGCTCTCAATTCGCAGGAGAGTTGACCAACAACAGATCATATGCCTGTGTCTACGGAATTGAATACATACGTGTAGGCATCAGCAACATCAATTCGTGCAAAGCGGCACGTGTCAACACGTACATACGTACATACATACAAAACACGTACATACATGCCTACACAAATGCATGCATACCGAGATACATGATGCCGATGTACACATGGATGCATGTGTGTATGTGTATGTACCCATGGGTGTCTGCACAAACACATGTGCGTCTATATGTCCGTCATGTGCAGATGTATGCATGCACATGTATATATGTGTGTATACCTTGTATGTATGTATGTATGTATGTATGTATGTATTTATGTATATCTGCGCATAAGATATATAACGCAAACGCATATATGCAGATGTATGTACCAATGTGTGAAGGTATGAATGAATGTATACTATGTATGCATTTTGATTTGCTTTCTTGGCCCAGGCGCCTATGTTCATCCAGCTATCATAGCCGCCCTCAAGCGATGACTTCCCAACCCAGTACCTGAGCCACGAAGCACTGCACATCCATGGGTACAACATGACTTGCATAGCGCATTTTCTGTGAGAAACTGCTCCCTATCCTATAGGTGCTTAGTATCTGAGCCCTCGTCACACGAGGTCTGAAGCCGCACCGATACTCACGGCATCCGCAGGAGCTGCACAGAGAGAGAGAGAGAGAGAGAGAGAGAGAGAGAGAGTGAGAGCAGCCTCCAAGTGACTATCAGGGCGGGGTGCCACACGCAAGCAATGCAGTGGTTCAGGACAACGATGAAAAAGATCAGGCGGATGCATGTGAACATGATGAACCTTGGCAGGTCGGTCACCCACATCAGTCCTGGAATACGCAACGAGCAGGATCTGATCTGATTCCCAGGGGTTCCAGGGCGAGGCATCAGGCCCTCTGCTTTCTGTTTAAGGATTGGGGGAGCCAGGCTCCCAGATGTCTTGAGAGCCGTGCGTGAACTCACTGTCGATCAAGTCATAGACCTCGAGTGGCAGCCAAGAGGCGATATGTGGGAGTGCAGTGTGACACAATAAAGCTAAGCCCAAGTTTACAACAAGGACAAAGGAGGAACGATTTTGGCATGAGGCCACATGCCCACAAAGACGAACCAGGAAACATAAACATCTCTGGCTTTAAGCATTTATGAAAGACAAGAAGAAGCCCTTCTCACGCACTTGTCTGCAGGGAGAGAACTGAAGAAACATATCCAAACATGAGGTAAGAGGGACTGGCTGGTTCTACGAAGGTTCTGAGACAACAAACTTTGCACTGCAAAGGGCTTACCAACACTCACACGAGAGAACCTCATACAACATAATCGTTTCCCGTGTTTTCGGAACCCTCGCCACAAAACACAACTAATTGAAACTAACTGTCGGAAAACATTACGGGTCTATGTCGCAACTACGGACCCCTGAGATAAAGCATGTCAGTTTCGTCGCCTCAAAGGCCAGTGACGGCCAGTGCTGATGATGGGCTAATCTCGATAGCACCACAACACGATAAGGGTTTCGATGGTAGCAGTCTGCACGAGATACAAGACACTCAAGCACGAAGCCCCCAACAACAAAAAAAAAAGCGGGGGAACACAATAGTGTTCCCAAGTCGATCCAGACTGACAAGACCGATCAAGAACAGCTGTGACGAGATCCGACATGTGGCTTTTGAGGGCTGGGCCATAGCCAAGAGTTTCTGGAGCTTCAGCAGCCGTAGCAGCCGTAGCCTCGTAGAGCATATCTACTGTAAGGGCCTTAACCGTTGGAGGTTTTGGGCTCCTTAATAATTAGTGTGATTCGAATGCGGAACTCCAAGGAATGATATTGGCAATTATTTAGGGTTCTATGTCATAACGTCACCGTCCTGAATCTGACCCTCGACTCGGTCCCACTGCAACTCCGCCGAACCTGAACGTGCAGCCAACCCTAATTACGAGGTCCAGGCGTGCGCAGGAATCGGAAGGACCGGATGATCTTGAAGGCCTCGCCTGGCTACGAGTCGGAGTTTGGAAGATGCCGTTGCCACGTCCCGCACGGGAGCAGGCGAGCTCCAAGGGATACTATCCGGGCCTTGATCGTTAGAATAGGGTTTGCGTGGGTATATTAAACTATCGGTATAATGCAGAAACCTGCAAAACCCTATTCTAATTTTTACGGCCCTTGTGTTACCTACCTCAAAGATCCAGTATCCCCGCTGGGCCTGATTCTTCGCCGGCGGAGCCCAGTCGCTCCATCCACTCCGGTGCCTGCCGGCTGCGCAACTTTCATCCAACCCGTCACGAAAGCACTCCGCGCTTTAACTATCGTCTCCCATTCATCATGAGCCACGGTCGGGAGGAGGAAGAAGCGACTATGGCGCACATCGTGCGGAATGACTGAATGCCCGCGTCGTACAACGAGCGTGGTACGAAATTCACGATGCGAGATGAGAGGCTAATGTCTCGTCTCCTACACTCCTACTACAGGAGAGGCTGCGCTGAGCTCCCTGCCAGCACCACGACGTCCAAGAAAAACCTGGCCGCTCTACAAAGACATCGAAGGCTACGCATAAGATCAGCAGCCACTGCGATGATGTGCCGTCGTCATTCTCTTATAGTGCGATCTGGCATAAATGTGGAAGTTCGTGCGAGATGCTGCCACCCAACACTTCTGCTTGCATGGTTTCTCAAGAACCCAAAACACTTTGAACCAGCCGCTGGTACAGGCATTGATTGAACACAGCTTCCCAGGGCGGGCACCATGTCTTCAGGTAGTTCTTCGCAATGCGTCCTGGTCCGAGAGTTAGCTGCGGATGGAACGGTTCGTTAAGAAATGCCTTGCTTATACTTCATACCAACACGTTCAACACATGTTCATCCGTCCGACGAGTCTCGCAAGCATCACATGCGATGCAGCGCACGTGATTCGGAAATCTCCCCGGCAATACAGAGGTTGTGAACAAGATCTGGAGCTCAAGACAAGACGTGGAGTACAAATGTCGCCCAAGCAGTGTAGCTCTGAGGAACAGCAACTAAAACTTCCCAGTTCGTTGATGGATCATCAGCCCTAAATCTTGTTTGCTACACAAATAACCCCAACCTCATCGCCTATCACTCAAATAACTCAAAGTCCTTCTACGGCCGATTACATATATATATATATATATACATATATATATATATATATATCTTCGTGCATACAGTTATAACTATATAACCATGTAACCACGTCTGAAAGGAATGCCTGTTCGACTAGCAAGAGATGCTGACGGGGATCGGAACTCGGTCACGATTTCGCCCTTGTAATAGTATGCCGACCTTATTGGTCCGGCCGGAACAGTGGTGCGCTCCCAACACCATCCACAGTGTCTCTATGACCATCGCTGCGTTCTTGCGAACTTGAAGCTATGCAAGCTTATGTTGCCCGCATACTGCATACTAGACTATGGAAGACTAGCATGGGTGTTGCAACAGTGCTCATTACTGCTTCTTTGTTGCTCCTACTGCGACTACGGCCAGCTCTACCAACAAAGGTCCATCCCTCATTGTTTAAGCTGTCCGGCTGTAGTGGTTATAATGATCATCCTTATCGCCAGTAGCCCCTGATAGAGGTCATGGTGCTGGTGGTAGTAGTAGCAGGAGCCAGTGTCGCGGTCTTTGCCGTTTTGAAAAGAGTCAGCATTGTAGTCGCAATGTAGCAGTGTGTAGTGGCGGTGGTGCAGTTAGTGGCAGTAGTAGTAGTAGTTTTCGCCACCCGCAGTAGCACTAGTAGTAGTAGTAGTAGTAGTAGTAGTAGTAGTAGTGGTGGTAGTGGTAGTGGTAGTGGTAGTGGTAGTGGTAGTGGTAGTGGTAGTGGTAGTGGTAGTGGTAGTAGTAGTAGTAGTAGTAGTAGTTTTTGTCACCCACATAGCACGGCAACGCCAGCTCCGCGGGGCTCTCTATGAGCATCGACGACGGGAGGAGTAGTAGTAGTAGTAATAATAATAATAATAGTAGTAGTAGTAGAAGTAGTAGTAGTAGTGGTGGTAGTAGTAGTAGTGGTAGTGGTAGTGGTAGTGGTAGTAGTAGTGGTAGTAGTAGTAGTAGTAGTACTCCCAACCGCTAAAGTCCTTGCAAACCTGTTTCTGTGTACGAATCCATAACTAGCAGTGCGCAAGGAGGGGGTCGCGGCAGGGTCCTTGCAATCACCTGTTTCCGCAACTAACAGCGGGCCTGAGAGAGCTATGAAACTGATCATTCCGTGGCGCGTTTCAAGTGTTTCCGCAACTAACAGCGGTCCCGAAGGAGCTATGAAACAGATCATTAGGTGAAGCGTGTCACTTGTTTACGCAACTAATAGCGGTCCCCAAGGAGATATGAGAAAAATCATTTCGGAGACACCATCAACGGTTTGCGCAACTAACAGCGGTCCCGAGAGAGCTATGAAACAGATCATTCCGTGGGGCACTGGGACAGTTTCCGCCACAAACAGTAAGTAGCAGCGGCCCCGAAGGAGCTATGAAACTGATCATTAGGCGGAGCGTTTCACTTGTTTGCGCAACTAACAGCGGTCTTCAAGTAGCTCTGAAAACATCATTTCGGGAGACACTATCAACTGTTTGGCCGCGGTCCCGAGAGCGCGATGAAAGAGATCATTGCGTGGGGTGTTTGAACTGTTGGTTAAGTGAAGCGTTTCACTTGCTTGCGCAACTAACAGCGGTCCCCAAAGAGCTATCAAAAAAACTCATTTCGGGAGACACAATCAATTCGTTCCACAACTAACAACGGCCCCGAAAGGGCTATGAAACACATCATTCCGTGGGGCAATTGAACTGTTTTCCCAACTAACAGCGGTCCAGAACGAGCTATGAAACAGCTTATTCAGTGAGGTGTTTCATTCCAGCCGTCGGTAATGCATTTCAACT